AACGAAAATAGAGAAAGCAGTAACATTCTCGAGCATTATACCGTAGGTTAACAAGTTCATCTTACCTTTTAATAATGTGTGTAAAGTCGTTTTTTTGGAAAATGAAAACAATTAGTCTCTTTGATAAATTTGTTTAGTGTAATAAGAGGATGAAGATCATCAAAGCTATATGATATATTAGCACAATACGTATCGAAAAATTTAGTCGCACATATACTAGTTAAGAACATTCGTATGTGAAAAAAATTAAAAGGTCAACTAGACAAATAGAAGGAAATAAGGATAAACAAGAAGATAAGAATGGTTCTTTTCTTAAGTAAACACTGTGAAACTCACCAAGATGAATAATAAACTGTATTATCAGGATAGGTTTAGAGTGAGAACAAACCAATTTGAATGAGTAAAGAGGGGTTTAACTTTCGTATGACCAACGCTTCAATAAAAATTAGTATACACCCTGAACACATTTGTACAAAACCATAAAAGCCAAGTTAGAATCAATCTCATAACCACAAGTATGTATGACCAGACTGTTTAAAATGTATGGTGCTAATATATTGTAGTGGCTTAGCTTCGTTAATTGACCACCTTGATAACCGTTATTATAGGAATCTCAACGGTGTTTAAAATCAGAAGGCAATGAGAAGCGGCAACTACAATTTATTAGCGGATAGCACGGATCACGAACCCATAAGCACATTGAGCGAATTTGAAGCAGAGAGGCGAATTTGTGTATGCGAGAAAACACAGAAGCAAATTTATAGTCAAATCCAATAGGGCGCAGCTAGGTAAGGCGAAGGCTAATAATGTGATCTGAGTACATATATACGTGGGGAAAGAGAAGGAATCATCGAGTGATATGTAAGCGATCAATATTTAAGCTAGAAAGAGATATGTGCGTAGGCTGTCATGTGGTAAAGCGTACACGTTTATACAGATAAGATAGTGATCATAATAGTAGAAAGAAATATGAGAATTGTTACTGTTAGAATAACATTGTCTGTTAAGTATGTTAATAAAAGGGTTTAACAAAACTTAACCATAATCGAAATTGGTATTAGGAGAGCTGAATAGATCAATGTTAGGCCACCACTGAAAACCTGGAAGCACTGGATGGTCGTCTCGTCGTAGAATGGGACTCGACAGCAGTGCGCATTCATGACTTCTCACGTGAGACTCGAACTCAAAATTCTCCAGAACCCTATACTGATGGTTTATTTATTGTTTTTTTGACTATTATTGAGTCTATTTAACGATGAAATAGTAAGTCCCTTAAATGATCACAGATCTGTTAAGTAAAGTAATTTATCATGAGATTGAGTCGTTAAATATGTACAATTATCACGATAATGATTCATCAGTTCTATTGAATTTTCTGCGTGACTATAGTTTATGGATGAATCAGTCGGGTTTAAGATACTAGGTTGGATTTCAGTGTGAAACTAATCAATCCATATGGCTAAATAGCATTTTAGCATTAAAGCTGATGGAATTTTATGATATATACAGTTTCTAGCTCTAAGGTTCAGCTGTAAATTCTAATACTAATTCCTCACACTGATTTATAACCTTCACTTAACCCTGGTAAGTTAGTCGACATTCTCGAGGTCACTTAAGCATCACTCACAGGGCGTCCATAAATTATAGTCTCACCGAATTTTCTCTTCACATTACGTTGTTATATGTATTTATGTAACTGTCATTACTAAAACATACATTACAATCATAGTTGAATATAACAAACAGAAATGAATTCATTACATCTCTCGATCACGTACAAGTTGTTTATCTTCAAATATTAAATAACAGTCAAAATTTAACGCAAGTAATAAGAACAATAACAATTTAGACGAAAACGTACTACTTTCATATCTATGAAAAAATGACTAAACACAGTGAACACAATAAAGCATATATGCGTGTGATCGTTTCACATGAAAATAATAATAATAATAAGATCAAATGGTTTACTCTTCATTTGATCGTTTGTCAACTTTTCATTTAGTTACATATTACAATGTCAATAAACAATTCAAAATAATTTAATTCTTAAGATTATCTCTGATTGTGTGCAACAAAACACAATGTGCCATTTAACTGTCACAGTTACATATATTTTCTGATCATATACAAAGTCATTTTGATTTTAGTATGAGGACTGATGGAGATTGTAGTATTTAAACAATTGAATTCACTAGTCGATCTAAGCTAGATCACGACTGAAAACCGTGAAGCACTGAACGGCTGTTTCGTTCTGGTATGGGACTGCGCAACAATGCAAAACCATAATTTTGCACCCAGGACTCAAATCCAGGACCTCCGGTTTCATGCGCTAACGCTTAACCTCTAATCCACTGATTTATTTGTCTATTTTTAACAGGGCTATATGATAATCATAGGATGTAACAACTAAAGCTATCACTAATTTTAAGTTTCAAGTTTTATAGGATTACCAAGTTAATTTCATGTTTATTCAATGATTAATTAAATCAAATATTCTCACTATACTATCAAAATAATTGAGAACATGTAAAAAGGTTATTTATCCTTTGAAAAGTTAACTTGTTTCTACTCCTTACAATATTACTAATTTATCATTTCTATGACAAAACAACAATATTATACATAATTTACAGATAATTCCCATTTAAACACTAAAAATTAGAAACAAAGTTCAATGAAGGGATCTCTTTTCAACGAATGTATATTACCAAGCTGTATATATATATATATATATATATATGACAATTTTCTTTTATTGAATTACTAGTTATGTGAGGAAATGTGAACACGACTAGCAAAGATGATGTAATAGAAGGATTATAATATCAGATTACGTAATATGAATAATAACAATGGACTTCGTAAATTAAGAACGAATTATAACGTGAATATAGTAAGATGACTAAAATGTTTTTACTACAATAATTAAAGGTAATTAAAGGTCAGAGAGGTATAAAAAATAAATAAAGTGATATAATATGTAAAATATATGATGAATAAAATAATGAGAGTATGAGACATAAGTAAATGGGGTATGCAGTAATAATAATAATTAAGGCCAGGGTAACGATAACAATAGGACGTACTTCTTTTGTACGCATAGATCTGACTTGGGCTCGTAGATGGTATGAGCTCCGGTTATTTTTAGGAGCTGGATACGAAGAAATCTAGGTACATTTGAACGAATAGTATATACAACCTTAAAATCAAACTGTGGTTGTATATACTATTCGTTCAAATGTACCTAGATTTCTTCGTATCCAGCTCCTAAAAATAACCGGAGCTCATACCATCTACGAGCCCAAGTCAGATCTATGCGTACAAAAGAAGTACGTCCTATTGTTATCGTTACCCTGGCCTTAATTATTATTATTACTGCATACCCCATTTACTTATGTCTCATACTCTCATTATTTTATTCATCATATATTTTACATATTATATCACTTTATTTATTTTTTATACCTCTCTGACCTTTAATTACCTTTAATTATTGTAGTAAAAACATTTTAGTCATCTTACTATATTCACGTTATAATTCGTTCTTAATTTACGAAGTCCATTGTTATTATTCATATTACGTAATCTGATATTATAATCCTTCTATCACATCATCTTTGCTATTCTTGTTCACATTTCCTCATTGAACTTTGTGTTTTTAACCACTTAATTTGTTTCAAAACAAAACAGTTTTTACATTAAAAGATCATATGCATAGTTATTTAATGTTCTAATTTACTAATACAATCAACTACTATCATGTTAGATTTTAATTTTATAAAGCCAATAGTAAGTTGTATTTTATCTGATTTCTTTTTTATTTTATTTATTTTAAAATAAAGTCATCCCATAGTATTTTTATGTTATAAAAGGATAAAACTCATTCATATTGTACCTGTAACCCTGAAAAAAAAACATTTATTTAAACAAAGATAGATAGTGGCTAGCAGTGGAATCCAGGAGGTGAGTCTCGTCCTATTTGAGCTTTGTCGGCTGGATGTACCTGCATTGCAGAGTTGTTGTTCACTCTGGGACTTATTCAGGTACATCCAAAATAGGAAGAAATGCGCGTCCTGGTTTCCACTGCTAACTACTATCTATCTTTGATTTAAACACTTATGACTTAAGGCTATATTGAGGTAATCCGCATAGGATGTACATATGCCAATATGATACTGATCCATTGCAGTCCTAAATAATAATGGGATGATACAAGTAAAACAACACCAAGTGAATTTATACATTTATTTAATATAAAGAAAATAACGAAACACTATTTTCATCAGTTTCATCATTTTTTTTTGTTATTATTGTTACACATTTCGAAAGAAGGATCTTTGTTTTTTGTTGAAAATAAATAAAAAATCTTCTACAAAATGAATAATATTAAACAAATATAACTTGTAACGTTTCAATATGTAAAAAGAATTATTGAACTTTGAATAAAGTGAAAAAAAAATTTTTTTTAAAAAAGAAGACTTTCTCAAGTAGATTTGTACAATAGAAATGAATAGTTAATACAAAGAAAAACAAACAAACAGTATCCATATAAGGATTCAAGAACTTATTGGATTACGTTTGTGAATACAGAAAAACAAAATCAGACTCATAAAATCACATTAACGCTTACAGTGTTTGATGCAACAAGAAAAAAAAAAGAAAAACAAACAACCAAACAGACTAACGATGATAATGATGATAATGATAGTGAAATTGAACACAGTAGATAGCAGGGAAAAAAATGGTGTTTTAAATCTTATTACATATGTATTCGTACAATTACAAAGATAAATGTTATTTAGTTTAATTCAATAAGAAAATCTGTATATGTTCTTAAAGATTATTAGCAAAGTTAGTTGAAATAAATATAATTAAATTCTATGCCAAAAAAATTGTTTGTCTATATTACATAATGAATTTTAGAAGAATATTTATATATATATATATATATATATATATATATATATATATATATATATATATATATATATATATAATTATTTTTGAGTTTTAATTGGTATCACGGATGGTTTATCTGATTCATGTGAACATTTACGAACAAGTGAACGTTTACGATTTGTACATGTTGTACTTACAGACCATGTTGAATTTATAGGTCTTTTACTATTAATTTTAATATTATCCAAATCATATATGGATAATGTTGAAGTAACATATCCTGGTGTAGTAGCATTACTTGAACTAGAAACTTTACACAATACAGAAGAAGAACGTGATTGTGATTGAATCCAGTTAGATGATAAACTTACACTACGAGGTAGATTGTTTCTTTTTAACTTGCCAGTTAAATTTTCTGCACTATTACGTTTTGTTAATTTATCTTTAGATTTCATATTGAATTTATCAGTGAAAATATTTGATTTACGACTATGTAAATCATGATAATAAGCTTGAAGTTGTCCCATAAAATGTAAATTTGGTCCAGCTACAGAACGACGTGCTTGTACAAATTCTAATGCTTTATAAACATTTAATCCACGATTATTGTATAAAAGATAAGCAATGACAACTGCAACTGATCGAGAAACACCAGCTAAACAATGAACTAAAACGATCCCATTATGCTTTCTTGCTTTTTCTGTAAGAGTAATTTAGAAGAATAATGTGGAAACTTGAAAACTATCTGAATATGTTAGATACTATAAAAGAAGAGTTTTTTTTAAAAAATCTCGTTTTATAGTTCCAATGACGAGAATTTGAAATGAAGCATTTATTTTTAATTATAATTTACACTACACTACTAACAAAATTTTATCAAAGTGTACTGATAATGAACTCCAAAAGCGTGAATAGTATATAAATAAATTGTTATGGATCACAAGTACTCACAATATATTGTGAATGTCATCCTTGATTAAAAATATTGTTTACTTGTTGGTGTAATGTGATGATTTAACAGCACATTTCAATTCATGTTTATTCAAATATGTTTATGTAGTTACTTAATTAAACGCAAGGACAATGCTCGAACTTATCAAGTTTAAAAGGATACAAAGAAGTCAGGTTGTAGCTATGTATATTTAGAAAACTTTAGACTTGTAAACCATCTTCCGTGAGATTATTTAAAATTTTTACAATATTGAATTATATTCAGCTAATGTTTGATAACTGTGATATTTTACCGATTGCACAACACTGAAATTCAATAGTTTTCTTTTTTACAGATTGAAATCATGAGTCAACTGAAGCTAGACCACCATGGAAAACCTGGAAGCACTGGAAGGCCGTTCCGTCCTAGTATGGGATACCTCAGCAGTGCGTATCCACGATCTCGCACCCCACGAGATTCGAACTCAGGACCTATCAGTCTCGCGTCAGGCGCTTAACCAACTAGACCACTGAGCCGGTATCCAATGATGTTAATGTCTAACTTCAACCAATCCACGAACAAGAAGTTTTCTTTTTTACATTTTAATTATATTCCTGTAAAACAAGAATTAAATTATTCAAATTTCAAGTTACATTTTAATAAAGCCAATATTCAATAATTATCTAACGATTCAATTTCACAGCCACTGCATTCAAAAATTAGTTGAATAGCAAATCATTTAACAGTTGAACAACAACAATTAGGATGAATATTTTAATCCCAAAATGCTGTACAAAATCTTGGCTAATGATTTAGATAGTAAAATCAAGATTATATAATGAAGGCAGAAATAGGTAGAAAATCATTTTCAGCCACTCGAAATCTAAAATTTTAAAAGTGCTGTAAAATGTCATCGAGAATATTTGTTAAAAGTTTCATAAATAAATGTTGTTTCGTTTAGTTTTGAATGACTGTCTATTTTTCAGAACTCCAAAAGATAAACTAGAACACTTTCATACATAATTACCTCTGTTTCATATTTTTATATATGTATACGGTATTATTGGATGCTGACTCAGTGGTCTAAAGGTTAAGCATTTGCGTGTGAGACTGATAGGTCCTGGGTTTGAATCTCTCGGGGCGGGATAGTGGATTTGCACTACTGAGGATTCCCATACTATGATGAAATGGTCGTCCAGTGCTTACAGGTTTTCCATGGTGGTCTGGCTTCAATTGACTCATGAATTTAATTATTATATAAGAAATACTTGCATATCAAATAGGGCATTTTCAGTCGGACGTTGCTTAAAAGTGACTATGAAAACTTATCTATCTGAAAGAAATGGACAACTTGTTTATCTGAGTTATGACATATAGTTTTTACATTGTTTAGTTAAATAATATGCCCAATTTATGACACTAGCAACGTCTAATTTTTTTTTCAATTATTCTGTATATTCGATAAAATATTGGCTGAGATTTCAGAACTTGTTTCATCGGTGAAACGTTTATTGAATAAATCAACAGCAGTTCATAATTTATAACTAGAGGATAACATATTTGCTTAAGGGATTTTTAAGTTACTAAGTTAGTTTGGTTATGATTATGCTGGTGAGCTGCCTATGTTCCTTCACGAAGAGCAACAGGCGTAAGTAAGTAAGTAAGTAAGTAAGTAAGTAAGTAATGACCTCACAAAATCTTTGCGAGCAATATGTAACTTATTATGAATTATAACTAGACATATTATAGTCCAGTATGTAGTAAAAATTATATTTCTTCCATTGTTATTTCTATTTCATGTTTGCTACTGAGACTGGATCTGACATTATGTGTTATTTGTGTGTTTCTATGAACAAAGATGTCCAAAATGATCATGTAGATTTACGTGAATTTTCATTTCTAATGAATTACGTTACTGTTTAATCTTTTAGCGATTTTCTCTGAAGTTTGTCCGTTCAATTTCCAATTAGTCAAAGTGTTAGGTCCCGATAAACATGATAAATGGTAACATTGGGATCCTTTTATGGACCAATACTATACGCATATTTTTATCGTATAATTGTTAAATAACTAAACTATTCATATTCATATTTCTCTTATTATAAACTTTATTTTGACCTATGAACCATTATTACACGTTTTACCATTCTTGAATTATGCCCTGTCTATTAGTCACTGCCTCACACATTCACAGCCACATTTGGCCAAATATTGTACAAATGTTATTTTCTATTTTATGCTACGTTCTGGTCTGTTTGACTGGTATGTAAACTCATTATGTTTGAAATATAATGATTCATATTGCAGAGGCTGAGACTGGTGTTCTGGACTTAACTGGCTGGGCTAGGCGGAAAGCAGGATCAATCAGGACTCTAGGCTGCTCGCACGTGTTTTACGCGTCCTTGGTCCGATCGATAATTCGCTGCTTCTGATTGGCGGCTTGGGGCTATAACACGAAGCTAATTCAAATCCAATAAGGGTTGAAAAGTTTTATTATCTAACGATTACCATATTACTTACATATCACAGCAAATTCATCTTCAAGAAATCTATGGCTTCTAGATGACACTTTTATATAATATGTGGTTAGATCATTGTTAAAGTATTCTCATTTGATTAAGAATATAGAAAGCATGTGGTATATGTCTAAAATGTTGATCTGGTTTAGTAGATCATGAGTTGATTAGTAGATTATAGAAAAATTAATATGACGCTTTCTAACTACATTAAACAAATAAATTGTAAATAAGTTTAGTGAATTATTATGACAGTTACAAAAGCAATTTTTATCTTAGTGAAAGAGAACAAATTATTTACCTTAAAAGTAATTTATCGAGGTTTTACCTCATAATTTTAAGAGTATATTCTGTTATATCCTAGTGAAGATTAAATTACGGGTAACTTATGGGATCTATTAATGGACTAATGTTATATATATATATTACTAGTGTATAACTGTTCAGTAACTAGATTGTGTATATTTATATTCCTCTTACAATCAGCTTCATTTTGACCTGTGATTTATTATTATACGACTTATTGTTCTTAAATTATGCTCAGTTAATTAATTACTGTTTCCCACGTTCACAGTCACTTTTTAGCCTGATCTTGTATAAATGCTATTTTCTTATTTTATGGTGCGATGTGGTCTGTTTGGCTGGTATATAAACCAAGTATCTTTGAAATAAATGATTCGCATAGCAGGAGCTGTTATTGGTGTTCTGAACTCAACTGGACGGGCTAGGGGAGCAAAAGACCAATAAGGACCCTAGGCCGATCAGACCGGTCGAACGGCATTGATTTAATACAAGAGTGAATAAGTCGTATTTCGACTGGAGAATAAATTACGTGATAGCTAGTCGGACTTAAATTCACAACATGTTCAAACTATATTGCATGTCAATTTTTTAAAAGAGAATTTCCTCCTTAGAACGTGTTAATTTTGAACTGTAAGAGAAAGAATTTTCAGAAATGTTTATTCCTGTTAACAGATAATTTTTTCCGAAAATAACAAGTAAGATTTAATCTCTGTTTATCTAATGTGAATCCTTTCTTCTACAGAATGTGTATAAATTAGATTATAGATAAATTCTCATCTTTGTTTCACTTAGTTATTTTACTTAGTAGTCAGGAATGAGTTGATGACTTTTGGCTTTTACCAGTAATTACTTGTATGTACAGTTTAACTGTTGGGTTTAAAGTCCCAAGCTAAAGAGTTGCATAGGGTTCACAAATTATTCACCTTTTTTGAACATATTTCTACAATCCTTTGGTTTTAAAGTCTGATCAGTCTCAGAATATGGTTGATTTATTCTACTTGTTAGATAAAATGAAAAGTCTTTTTGATATACTTAGGCAGTGAGGAAATGAAATTTATTAGATCATTGTGATACATTGATAAAAAAGTAATCTGACCACACGTTTATACATGAGAAATAAATGTCAAACTAGGCAGATTGGAACCTAAGCCAAATAAAGATAATGAGGAAAAATGATATGGATCACAATCCCCTGGATATTAAATCAATGCCACCAGAGAAAGTATATTGTAAATACATATTACATTCAAACATATAGGGGGAGGCGCGGTTTCACTTTGTTTGACTAAGTCGTCAACAGATTTAATTATCTGCCCTAGACAAGTTTGTACCCAACCACAAAGGATTATTTAAGTTCAAGATTAAGACCTGATTTTGATGCGCTTTAAGGAATGGACGAAGAGAGATGTTTGTTTTCTGCGCCTATTGAGTCACCTTATACGATTGCTTGTGCAGCCGTTTTGGTACTCTTTTAGTAACCCAAACTTTTAAACCCAATTACCCCTCTCTTCGTACAATCGGACGCACATATTTGCATTTATAAACACTCTGTGATAGGACACTAATGCTTACATCTTAATTAAGATTTTAGTGGAGCCTGAACACCAATTTTTTAATAATGACCTCGACTAGTCAGCTCTTTATACTGATAAGTGTTTCAAGCATTCATTTTACATGGCTCACCTCTGATTGGCAAGGTGTTAGTAACATGTTCGTTAGGTCCCAGAACTGTAATAAACGTAAGAAAATCTTGACTTTGCCATTGGTTTACGAATTGTGCATCAGTGCTTCTTTTAACAGCCTCACATCGTATTTACCAGTACTATTTACACATACAAATCATTCACTTGAATAAACCTTTTATTAAGCTTTGCTTATGTTCCTATTTGTCTAGTTTGATTTTTGTTTATCATATATATCCTAACAAGTTAATATGTGGTCAAAATGTTCGAAATGTATCACGTCCATATATCACATAGATCTGATAAACGTCGTCTCCTCATTGCACTACCAATCTATAATTCTTTTGATGTTAAAATGTCATACACTATCGAATGAAACTCTCGTTACGCTACCGCTTCATTTTAACCTTTATGATACAATAAACTGAGTTATCGGTCAATTATTAAAATTTACCATTTTGTTACTAAACAGAAGAGAAATTTCATAATTTTTTCTTGAAATACGGGTTAGCAAAAATTAGAATTACAAGTATTTTTATTTCTGTTACCTTTGTACAGCTAACAATAATTTTAAAAGTTATTACTTCATAAATTAAACGTGAATCGAAGTATACTTTTCATGCATTGTCATTCTAAGATGTGACCGAAATGAATCATCTTTCTGTCCCTTGATTTTATCAAGTACAATTCACGTCAAATGATAATCTCTATTAGAGAAGTGAAAAGGATGTATGAAATACCTACATATTACTTGTAGTCACTATATCTATCCATGATTTGTATTATAATAAATCTTCCAATAGGCTGTGGATTTTTGATAAATATGAATTAACGAAACCAAACATTGAAGTATTCATAATACGGTTGACATAAAAGCAAAGTGAACAATAACTGAAACAGTTGTCACTTCAAAACATAGAATTCTTGCAGCGAGTCAAGCACAAGCTATTTCTCTTACGAGTTTCAAATTAACACTATTCTTTTTGTATTGAAACCAACTGAAACCAACAACCCGATGCTACAAATTCGAGCAACTATCAATAACGTGTATGAAATTTTGACTGAGATCATGAATTGATCAATGTTAGTCCACCATTGAAGACCTGAAACCGCTGGATGGCTATTTAGTCCTAGTATGAAACTCCTCAGCAGTGCACATTCGTGATCCTACACGCAGGACTCTAACCTAAAACCTTTATTCTCGTGCGCGAATACTTCACTTCTAGATCATTGAGCCAGCATTCGCCGGTATTAATGTCTAAATTCAATCCGTTCACGATATTGCACGACCGTCCTCCTCTGTCCTCAGTGAGTAACTGCCCCACACTGGAAATGGCTGAACTCCACAGGTCACCACTTCTCACTAGAACTCCAGGAAATCCATCTTAAAGCCAGTCACTAGTGAGCACATGATAATTACCAGTTCAGTATCATGGAAGTTGTTGAGTTTTGACGGAGATCACCAAACGGTTGTTCTGTGTTTCCAGGTTTTTAGTGGTGGTCTAACACTGATCCATTCATGATCTTAACCAAAACTCAACAATCCCCACAACCCTATACTGATATATGAAATTTTGCGAAATATATATATACATATATCACCTCTACTACAACAAATTTCTTTAAGTCAAACAGATATATATAAAAAAAATGAAATATACCTATGAATTGTACAGCTCGATCGAAAGATGGAAGTAAATTTTGTTTTGTAGTATCTGAAGCAGGTATATGCAAATATTGTATCCGATTTAATTTTCTGAATGGCATAGGCAATGAATCTGTCACATTAATTATATGTGTTACATTTAATTGTCTAATCAGATCAACATCTTGAGAGTCACGTGCATTACCTTTAAACAAATAAAGAGTATTTTTAAGAAAGAAGTATGTAAATAAGGAAAAATGATGTAAAACATATATATTACAAGTTGAAATTTCTTATTAAGTACCTTTTGGAAATAAGATTGCATTGATATTCTTTTTATAACAAAGACAGTTTAAAGATGTGAATGAAACTTCTGAAGAATACTTACTCTAGTAGATCGGTAAATTATTGATTAATAAGTGTCATTAATAGTTTTATGAGTTTGGTTGAAATAATTACTCTTCAAGTTGATAAATTAGTTCGGAATGCAAGTGTGTACCTTTATTTTTACCTAAAAATCTTAGCAGTAAGCGAAAAGCTTGACCTTTGACTAAGAAACGGCTATAGGGATTGTAAATCCATAAATGAGTATATATATATATGTATCATCGTGGCTATTTTGCATCCGGTCTTCATTAACAGAGAGCATTGTTCTCAAATTTAATGTTCTTTAGGTAGTATCAGCCATAAACAATATCAAGAGATTTTTACATCACAGTCTTCAAAAGTATGTTTATATGTTTAGAAGCTCATCAAAAATAATTTTATGTTTCACAGCATATACTTATGTGGCATTCATCTTGTGATATTAGTTGTGATTTTTGCATGAAAATCACAAGCTGTCAATAAAGGAAATTATAAAATGTCAAACTTTACTTCTGCAATCATAGTTCTAGATAACATTTGATATTCTGTAATGTGTATTCCAATTAGTTTTTGATCCATATAAAGCTTGCTCATGTTTTACATAATAACTAATCAGTGATTTCATATTTTAAATAAATAACTGAGACAAGATTCATAATCAGAATATCCTATAGATGGTGTCTCCGAATATTTCTAATGATTTGGGTACTTTAATAACTATCATTAGGTGAACCATAAAAGCGATAAAGAAATTTTATATATTCATAGAATTCTAGATGATAAAATTTATCCTATGAAAGGACCAATGAAGTAAACACTGAGCCATCAATATTTTTTGTAAAATGGTTATTAGCCATAAGTAGTCAGATTCTTTCGGAATGATGAATATTCTGAATTCTGTGTATTAAAAGCTACCTCTTCATTAATCATCGGTACCTATCTATGCTTTTGAAGAAATCCATGTCTCTTCACGTTTTCGATATTTTTGGCAGATAGTACCAAAAACAAATATTATATCAACGAGCAAGATGTAGTAACCGCCAATTGTTTTGAGATATCCAGGAATATACACAACCTACCCCGTACTGGGAAAGTATTACTATATTTCAGAAATCAAACTTCTATCTACTTCTACAGTTTTAAAATTTAGTCCCATAAAACATGAACTTGAATACTATGTATATGAGTAATTATATATTAATTATGATACATACAAAGATCAACTGTGAATGCTAACTTCACTGATATTTACTCTTATCAAAATATAATGAATTTAACGTATTTTAGGTAAAAGCTAATATAAAATGCCCAAAAATCAGTTACAATCATAACGAAAATCGTTCTGTAAAAATTCAACTTCATAAGTTATCAATATTCATTAAAGCTTCCTAATTAGGTGTTTCTTTGAAGTGGATAAAGTCGATTTTAACAATAAAACTAAATTTATGAGAAAATGTCGGGTGATGCTAAAATAATTAATAAAAGCGGAAGTTGTTTCTAAAAATTCTCAAAGAAAGTATAAGTTATGTAAACGGAGTATTTCTCATAACAGTATAAGAATTTAAAACAAATTCGTCATCATAAACATCGAAAGTTTACATCATATACTTCACAAATTTAATCAAGCGCGCTCATTTTTTGATATTTGTTTATATGTAATACAATGACTCAATACCATAGCTCACTAAGAAAGAAGAATGAATCTGTAAAATCTCAGCAAATAAATATGAAGTAAATCCAACATTTAGTCTGACAATCTGGTCCAAGTTTTTCAAGTAAATATGTAATCAAATATCAAAATTATCGAATATAAATAAGTCCAAGGTTCTCTGGTTGACAGTATACTGAATAGGTCATCCAATTAATGTTTGAAGCGAACGGCACTGGGTTCGAGTCACAGAGTGAACACCAACTCTGGAATGCAGGTACATCCAGCTGACGTGTCCCAAATAAGTCGGGACGCGCCTCCTAGATTTCATTGCCAGCCACCATTCATCTTTGCTTACGAAGCTTGTGACTTAAGGTAATATCACGGCAGTCCGTACAGGATGCACATATGCCAAAAAGCGACTGATCAATTGCAGTCCTAAACAACAATGGGAAGATACAAGTGAATTTAATGTTAACAATGTTTAAGGTACGAATTTGCTTTAGCGTGTAAGAGACACGTGATGTGAAACGGAATGTGTTAAGATAACAGATTGTGTGCATTTGTCATTGATGTGAGAATAAATTTCATTCACAAAATAACAATAAAGAAATCAATGTTTGTGTTATTTTGTTGTTCCATTTAATTGTTTAACATATTCAGATAAGAAAACTGATCGGAACAGTTGAATGTAATTGTTCTTTATATATCTTCACTTTTTGCGTTCTGTGACATATTTGATTTATATCATATATAAGACTTGTATGGTTTCACCTATCAAAGGCAATATATAATGAATGAAATTATAATTTATGGACAAACTAATCAGGTTTAAGACAACAGATCTTGGATTTTGTCGCGAAATTCATTCATCTGTCTGGCTAACTGGCGTTTTAATATTTTAGCTGGTGTTAGTTAGTGATGAAAATTCTCAATCTAATTCCTGACCCTAAACACCAACTGTAAACCATAATTCTAATTCCTTACGCTGATTTACAACCATCATTTATTCCTAGTCAGTAAGTGTGTAGTGAACGAGAACTTCTGTAGGGACAACCAAATGTATATGAACACAAAATTACGGAATCTCTTAATAAAATCTGAGAACCATACAGTAAATACTTCATTTTCAAAATGTCAGTCAGTTGTCTCAGACTTGACTGTTCCTTCTCTCCCTCACCAATCACTATTTGTCCTCGTTCTCTTCCCTTCGATCTCCTTAACCTTCTACCGCCAGGCACCTTCGATTGATGATACATACTCCTTATATCTGTCAACATCAGTAGTACACACCACAGGTAACATTCTGGTCACTTTAGCGTCGTTCAGAGGTCGTTCATAAATTATGGTCTCATACCACTTACAAATGCGCACATTTTGTTATTTTAACACTTTTCATCTCAAATAACATGTCTCTTACACGCTAAAGCAAATACCTACCCTAAACATTGTTAACATTGATTAGATGACCTACTTAGTATACGGTTAACCAGAGAACCATGAACTTATTTATATTCGGTTATTTTGATGTCTGATTACATATTTACTTGAAAAAGCTTGGACCAGATTGTCAGACTAAATGTTGGATTTACTTCATATTTATTTTTTGAGATTTTACAAATACATTCTTCCTCCCTTATGTCCCACATCAACTCGGTGCTCAAATACTATGAAACTATTCGATCAAATTTAGATGTAAGTTCTTATACAGCATTGTTCATTACTCAAAGCACAATTAATTTAAATATTTCAATCCTCCTGAGATTCAATCATGGTATTATCGACACTTGACATTGAATTTTTCCAAAATATCAGGCAGTTTTCATGTATTTCAAAACCTAACTGAAATAAATGATTTATTACATTAGTAAGATTAAATTTAACAATGCATAAATCTACAACACATTACGTTGTTACTTATTCATTAAGCATAGATAGAGTTGTGACTTTACGTCCGGCTTTTTATAACGTGATTTATCCACCAATCAAGATACGACTTATATAATCTTAGCACTGTGCCAAACCAATGAAGTTCGAGCGGTATGGGCAGTCTAGCGTCCATATTGGTCCTATGTCCGCCTAGCCCGTCCACTTGAGTTTAGAACACCAAATACCAGCTTCCAATGTGCGAATCGAATCGAATCATTTATTTCATACATACTGGGTTTGTATAGCAATCAAACAGACCGCAACGCACCATAAAATAAGAAATAACATTTGTACACAATAAAGCCAAAAAGTGGCTGTGAATGTGGGAGGCAGTAGTTAGTAAATTGAAAATAGCTTAAGAACCGTAAATCGTACAATAATAAATTAGAGATAAAAATAAAGCTTATAATAAGAGGAATATTAATATACATAATCTAATTATTGAATAGTTATACCATAAGAATGTATAGATAATATTAGTCAATTAATATGTCTCAGAAGTTACTCGTGATTTATACATAGATTAACTTATTTCTGTTTACTTGTAGCCCGATCATAACTCAGTCACAGTTCTAATCGACTTTAACGTCGTTTTCTCTAACTTCTTATAATGCAAAATACAAGTTTTTTTGAAAACTCGAAGATGTAAACTTTATTTAATACGAAAAGTTTTATTATTTCCTTAAATAGATTAGTAATTTCTGACATTTGGACTGCAGTCCTGCTAAAACATCTCTTACTTACTTACTTACTTACGCCTGTTACTCCTCGTAAAGGAGCATAGGCCGCTCACCAGCATTCTCCATCCAACCCTGTCCTGGGCAATCCTTTCCAGCTCCTTCCAGTTGTAATTCATCCTTTTCATATCTGCTTCTATTATCCGACGCAATGTGTTCTTTGGCCTTTCTCTTTTCCGCTTCCCTTCAGGATTCCAAGTTAGGGCTTGTCTCGTGATACAGTTTGACGATTTGCGTAATGTATGTCCTATCCATTTCCATCGTCTTTTCCTAATTTCCTCTTCAGCTGGAAGTTGGTTTGTTCTCTCCCACAGAAGGCTATTGCTGATGGTATCCGGCCAATGGATGTTGAGTATCTTGCGTAGACAGCTATTTATAAATACTTCTACCTTCTTGATGGTGGTTGTTGTAGTTCTCCAAGTTTCAGCTCCGTACAGTAGAACTGCCTTGACGTTCGTATTGAAGATTCTCACTTTGATATTGGTTGACAGTTGTTTTGAGTTCCATATATCCTTCAATTGTAGGAATGCGACCCTTGCTTTGCCGATCCTCGCCTTTACGTCTGCATCTGAACCTCCTTGTTCATCGATGATGCTTCCCAGGTATGTGAAGGATTCTACATCTTCCAGAGTTTTGCCATCAAGTGTGATTGGATTGCTGTTCTCCACTTTGAATTTGAGGATCTTGGTTTTCCCTTTGTGTATGCTGAGGCCTACTGATGCAGAGACTGCTGCTACACTGGCTGTCTTCATCTGCATCTGTTCGTGTGTACGTGATAGGAGGGCTAGGTCATCGCTAAAACATCTCGGTTAACAATATTTTAATTGTACATATAATTCAATATACTTTCATATGTTTAAATGTAACTAAAAATAATTTTTGTTATCCATAATTAATCTGTATTTATACGAAATATTTATAGTCTCTCTAAGCACTGAACATTGTAGAAGTTAAGAATAAACATTGTAATAGTTACGATTTATTTTTTTGTCTATCTCTTATGGAAACGATTGCCATTTCACTTTCAAATCTAAATACTCAATATAATATTCCATAGAACAATCGGTAGTGACAGAAATGGTGAAACATTTTTTAAATAAAGATCAATTACAGTTAATCAATGCTAAATCTGTCACATGAATCCATATATCGTATTAAAGATTCTGTACTTTAATCTAAACGTATTTCATATAATTAGCAAAGATTTAACTGATTAAAGTTTCAATGACCCATAATATTGACTAATTTTCCCAAATGCCTACGACATATAGCCACACTTCCAGAAATAATCATATCAGTAAATCTGTTCGCCATAAACGGTTAATGTTTATTCAGTAATTTATTTGTTAGTTATTCTTAAGCATTACTTACTTTGGTGTATACACATCTTAACTATAATCAGTATAAACCATATAAAAATTACTGTATTTAGATATAAAGTATTTAACTTTGGTATTCAATGAATTTCCGTTTATCGTTTTCGTACTCTTATTTCAGTTGTCCGATTCATGTATTCAAGAAGTCAGTAGCGGTATTCTAGAAGTACCACACTATTGTACTGAATCATGTGACCGTTTCTATTATTTATTATTAATATTATTATTATTATTGTTATCATTATTTGACGTCCCACCGATGATAACAACCATTTAAAGAAGATAGTCACAACTGAAGAATTAATCAAGACTATGCTGAACAAATTAAAATAACACAAAACACGTTTGATCATTGCGAAATACTGATTTGTCTCAGTGAAAATTAAATAGGCAGAACTATTCTTAGGCTATTAACAAATTCCGTATCTTTTAAACTAAATGATAGGTCAAACAGGATGTTTTCACTCACTGAAATAGACATTCTCCCTAAAGTCCCATGTAATGGAAAGTTTTAATTGGAGCGTGTTTACCAATTTGATTTTTATTATATCCTGGAAACATACCCATTGGTCAAGTTTACTTAAGTTACCAAAGTTTCACTGTCTTATAAAGCTAAAACTAAAATTATAGGAATAATGTTTTCTCAAAACACGCAAACATATATTTCGAGATATTTCTAATGACTTTACGTTCAGACAATTTACTTAAGTTCCCAACCCATGTATCTTTTCATAGTATGAAGGATTGAAAAATGTCTAATACCGGTTACATAGCTAAATTGAACTTATGAGTTCTGGGTAGTCTTTCAATCCTTGGTGTATTTGTTCGTACAGACATTCAGAAAGATCAAATAACATTATTTGAAGCGAAAACAAAAATTCTTCTGTATTTGAGAGTTCTCTTTCACATTTCTCTATTTGATGACGTCTACTAACACTTCTAAATTTGGATTGAAGATTTTTGAAACAAATTGTGTTGTAAATGAAAAAGTATACTACTTAATCAATGCATGGAATCAGTAAATAAAGAATTAGTAATTATAATTAATGTAATGGAAATAAAACCATAAGTAATAACTATATGAAGTCACCAAAATAAACTATAAGTGATAATTATATTACGACGGATGTATAACATTAGCTGCAGCAAGAAATAATAGATAAGCGCCAATTTAAAATATTTTCTAATCACCTACAATTATTGTAACAGTTGAATTAATGAGTCGATCTAAGCGAAATCACCAATGAGAACCTGGAAGCATTGGACGACTATTTCATCCTAGTGTGGGACTCCTTAGCAATACGCATGAATTCAACTGTGAAAATTTCTACAATCCCAACAAGTCTCCATTACTACAACTTTTGTCTTTTATTATTCTACATTGATCCATCCAATCTAAGTTTAATCAAGATATTTCTAATATAAAGTATGTAAAAATAGTTTTTTTTAATAATAATTACTAGTATTCTCTTTAGTTTACAAGTAGTTGAAGAATGATCATGAATTCTTATCTATCTAAGTCTATAAATGAAAAGAAGTCTATAAAATAAGTAAACAAAAGTGAATTGTTTGTTTTGAAGATTTGTCAAGACGGATTCACGATTCTGGAAACCTACTTTTCATAGTCTTGAGATATGAACTACTGTATAAAAGTGATAGAAATATAAATTTCCTTATAAATTCAGTCAGTACAATATGGAATTTGATAAATATTGTATTGGTTATGAGAAATATACATTACATGAAGTGACCACTAAATGACTTATTAACTAAATCGTCGTACTCAATGGAAAATCCTAGTTTAGCTATCAATCTGGATAGGGCGCTAATATAGTACATTTTTTATGCTTTTCGGTAGGCGATAAAATATATCGACTTACGTACGATGCTAGGTGACATATGTTAGCATAGGTTATCTGATTAATGGTTAAGCATATATATTAGTCCAATCTAAAATCACTTTTGCTCAGAATACTTCTCTAGTATTTTTTGTAACTGTTAAACTAGGTGACATAAATTCAAACATCAATCCGCTAACAAATGTCAATAATCCTTGTTGATAAGTATTGACTAGTACAAAATTTAGGTTCATGAATTTCTGAAAATAGTATTAAACCATTTTTGATATAAAAATATTTACTTTGATTCTAGGGGGTTAAACAGTTTATTATAGATTAACATAAGTAAGTTATATCCAACAGTAATTATATGATTAGTAATTATATCTCAGCAATTGAAGTTTAAAATAATTCCAACATTTCGTCCAACTAACTCGTCTGAACTTCTTCAGGATAATAATCAAGATCAAAATCATCAAAGAAATATATAACATTGTAACAATCAAATAAAATCAAATTCTCAATATTTTTACTAATTATCATATTAAATAACTGAATTATTATTATTATTATTATCTTTCATTGAAATTTGATTCCAGTCAGTTCGATACTATTTGATTAAATGTTATGAGGTAATAAAGAAAGAAATTAGAAATCAGTAGTATATGTACATATGACGTAAAAAATCTTTTCCTTAGAGATTAGACATTAACAATTATGTTTAACACTATTTATCTAATGTCAAAACATGATGCGAAATATGCATATTTTTAAAAATTTATTGAATCGCGTTAACATTTTATAAAGTAGAGGGATAGATCTTCTATTAGTTATTACTCTACTCTATAATTTTTGTCATTGTAGGGTTGTGGAGATTATTCAGTTTTTGATTGAGATCATGAACTGATTGATGTTTGACCACCATTGAAAACCCGAAAGTTCGAGTCCTAGAGCGAACATCAACTCTGAGATGCAGGTACATCCAGCTGACGAGTCCCAAACAGGACGAAACGCGCATCCTGGATTCCACTGCTAGCCACTACCCATCTTTGCTTATAATGCTTATAAATTAAGGCAATATCGAGGCATACACACAGTATGCACATGTGCCAATAAGAGACTGATCAATTTCAGTCCTAAAACATCAATGGGAAGATTCAAGTAAAACAATACCAAGTGAATCTCAAAAGAAAACTACTTAGTCTTTAGAACACATTTCTACATCAACATAACATACCGTCATACACATTAAATATCTTTCTTAATTAAATATATGTTATATTTATCATACACTTGTATCATTTATAAAATTGAAGCCGAAAAAATAGTAATAATAACTTACCTAAATATAAGAATGGTAGAATTTGTGAAATACTTGCACTTAAAACATCATCATTATTTTGTTGTATTTCATTTACACGTAATGGTGTTTGTTTAATTCGTACAACTAATGTTTCATCACGTGAACAATCCTTTAAACAAGAAATAAGCTTTTCTGTATCATTTGATTCAAAATTATCTAATTTGTAACATGAAATATCATCTAAAAGTAACTTATTGTTAGTATTTATATTATTATTATTACCATTCAAAGAAATTACGTTATCATTGAATACACGCGATACAATCGATGAAGCTTCAGAATTATCACTTAATGAAGGTGATGCAGCGTCGGAACAAGAACTATCATCAGTAGTTATATAGTTAATAAAAAGTGGTATATTTCGATCAATGAATTCATGGGCATCTTGAAGACTTCTAAATGCTTCAAAACCTCCTATAAGTAACAAAAAATAAATAATCGTGATCAAACTTATGTAATATGTAAATGTTTGTAGTTCACGTACATTGCAAAAAATAGACAAATTACATTAGTTACAAACTATACATAATGATCCTAGAATTAATTGCATAATATTTTTCTATTTTTGATTATGTTTATTATGGTGAATCATTTTCTTATCATATGTATACATCTATCAGACCAGCCAAAAACGTAGGTAGCCTAAAAAGCTAAATTTTAGAACATGGAGTTGTTCAAACCTAAGAGAACTCTCATGCGTTTGTAGTGCACCTATGCCTAAGTTCAATCATTATGTTTATGTTTTATGATTTTATAGCAAAAAATTCCAGTGTGTGAATTTATGTTTGTTTCCAGTTTGCAAGAGCATTTTACAGCTCATTTAATAGGATCTGTTGAAAGTGTTTGCTCAACCCTTAACAAATCAAATAATCTCTAATTACTTAACCGATTGACAGAATTCAGCTTGCTGATAGGTTAACCTTTGTTTATTATTCTTGATTATATATACTTAGGAATTGTAAGTGATTTAGACTACGGTTTATGTTCGAGAAAAGAAGTATTTTTCACTTATCCAAAATCTCCATCAACTTACGTAAATGAATATTTTTTATTTATCATTTATGATTCCAAAAGTGATTTTTCGAGGCTCTATAGACAATTCATGCCTTATAGAATGAATCATTTTATATATACGTGGAAATGAATAAAGATCACAATATATCACAAAAACTACTGTAATTGACAGTATAGACCACTAACAGACTGTTATGCCGATATCACATGTGTTATACGATGCGATGATCCCATTTTGACTCGATATCTAGTTACGGGTGAGTACGGTTGCGAAGTTCCGAATAAAAAGAAGCAGTATTTTACCGCTTTTTGATTTCTAATAGCTCTGCAATTAAATTCGAGCCTCAAAATGATATTATCTCGAGAACTTTTAAGGTCTCCTTTTTGCTTGTGAGTATGAATAAATAAAATATGTGATTACAATATCTTATTCCATCGTTAAAACTTTAGTATCACAGTTAAACGGTTAACTAGTGCCAACTAAATTTTGATGATAAGGTTTTTATTCAATCCGTCAGTTTACATCATTTGGCATCGAAGAGGAAGAGATTAAAAAACTGCTATAATCAAGTGAAATTACGAACTAGGTTCTTACAAAAACTAACTACCAGATAATTTATATAGGTCCGCAATTCACAATCTACTAATAGAACCCTTTGTAATATTTGTCAAGTAGAAGTAATGCATCTTGTAATACTGCTTATAATATGTAAGAATATACTTAAAATAGTGCTCATTAACCTAACGTAATAAAATGATTGTGTGATTTTTTAATTATATGTGAATTCATGCCACAAATTGCAATCAATACAGTCAGTTGATTAACCAAAATATGTTGAACGGGAATGAAAATCTACACTTTTTTTAATTATTGTAAGAATCATCTACCTATTAAGCTGAATAAATATAATGTTGCTTAGACTATTAGTTATAAAACTAACACTCAAGATAAAAGTCATCCTGTCCACAATTAGAGTCTACCTGACCTGATATACATGACATTGACCACCACTCAATAGTCAATCAATTTTAAATACATCACAGTCCTACAGAAGGTCATTTGCAACCGGAATAGCTCAGTGGTAACGTCTCTGACTGTGAAGCTGGGTTACACGGGATCGAATCCGTCAGGGAGCATCAGTTCCCTCAAGATTACAGGTACACCTTGGTGACGAGTGCAAAGTAACATGAAGTCTAGGTTCAGAGTTTCCTGTTGACTACCTTGAATCACTATCTTATTTCAATATAATGCACGCAATGTCGATTCATTTAGACTGCCGGCTATATTGCAACCTGGTCGATAGAATTTGATCTACACTAGGAAAGATTTGACATACATGACATTGATCACCACCCAGTGATTAATCAATCGAGTTTATTTACATTTATTTATTTTCAATCTTTTGTCTTTTATTATTCGTCAAGAAATATACCTGTTTATTACAAATAAAACAGTACAATGAAATCTGTTTGTTTTTATCACATATGAAGAAATCTCTAAATATCTTATTCTATGAATATGAAATCTAACATCTTTAAACAGTTACTCAAATGACAATGAAATTATCCAGTTTAGCAATAAACTTAATATCTTATCCTGCAAATACAAATTAATAAATCTAAATATGAAATGATGAAACTGTAAGAGTAATAAAGAACAACACACTGAACATATAACATGTATATCAATGTGAATATTTCCATTTTACCTTAAATATTTAAAGTATCAAACCACTGTTTCCAATGAATTTCTTATTACATTTTACTTCAGTATATACAAGAATACTGATGTACATATTAAACATTTAAAGTAATTTGTTGATCACTTTTACTAATTATGTAAATTAAACAACTAATTATGATCTGGGAGAAATAAACAATCACTATAGGTGTATTTCTTATTGATCATGAATAATTGCATAATGTACATGGTCGTTGTTATATATATATATATACAGGGAGAGAGATAGAGAGTTCAGAGTAAAGAGTGATTAAGATGTAACTGTAAATAGTATTCTTTGTTTAATAACCTGTATTATGTTATTCATTCTTTTATGCATCAAATATTTATTCAACCTGAATAATTTCACAGTGAACAGAGAGCACTGAATAATTGGAACAGTCAAGGCTGTAATGTTTCATGTTGATATAAATAAGCTGTATTTTGATTTTACATTATTTACCGCCTGAAAAATATCCTATCATTCTAGTATATAGATTTTAATGAAGAATAACAAATCAATGATTATTTGATCATATTATATTATATATTGTAGTTCACTTATATTGCTAAAGTAATATAGATCATTAAATTTTTCTCTCCTTAAATAACAATCAGAACTGTGAAATTCAGTAGTAAACTACTTCTTTGAAAATGAGAAATATAAATGAAGACAAACAATAATCCAAACAACTTAATTTAGACTAAATATGAAAATCTTATATAATGTAAAATAAGGCGTGGTTTTGTGTTATTCTCTGTACTTAATTTCAAATAAGAGATATCGATATATTATGACGATTTAGATAGATAGTTAAAATGTATTCATGATGAACAAATGTATATTCAATTACTGATTAGTTTCACAGAATCTAACCTACATAACTGAAATTGCACTTAAAACAACTGTTTATGTACTACAATGTATTGAAAATTAGATCACTATCATAACATTAGAAAATGTGTTTAATTTCTCAGAAAAAATCACATAATGCTCCACGAGATCATAGAAACATCAGGACAATGACTTAAGTAAGTAGGTTGTCATAACAACTGACAATCCGTTATTCCGACTAGAGAAAGAAGTTAAAGGGAAAGATCAAATTGAAGACAATGTTTTGTTTCCAAAACGCAGTTCTCGTTTGATTTCAAGAGTTGATGAAGCTTCATAACTAAAATTGATTGAAACGTTAATGAATTGTAATGATAGATTTACATTCTAATACAGTACCTAGGAGATTATAGAGTTAAAATGAATTGATAAAAAACACGCTTGTATAACCAAAACAATCTCTAATTAATTAGTTAGTAGTTAACCATTTAGGTGGACTAAATGGACAACAAGGTTTTTATGCATCCATTGAAATAAACCAGATACCTAGGAGCTCACCAAAAGGCTTCCTTAAAGTTAGTTTTCAAGAAGTTGACCACAATATCCTCTTCGACTACAAAATTTGAAGACAGACTTCTTTGGTTAGGCAGGAAATCTGTTATTTTGTTGTCTTAGTATGAAAGTACTTCTGCAACAGATTTGGATTGATAATCATTTAGCATGAAAATCTGCCAATATCTTTCCAGTTCCCTACTCTTTGTGTTGTCAGTAAATATCTATCTAGTTCACGAATAACTGAATTATGTTCTGATTCAGTCCCACTTGATTTCAGAAATTTATTAACTCCCTCTTACGAATTCACTCGCGAATCGACTTTGTTAAGTAGAAACTGGTTCTTTCAATTACACATTCACTCACTGAACTGCATCTTGAATCCTAATGTTGGTTTAAATGACTAGTAATGAGTATTAAAGTTTCCGTATTTTATATCTCCGTTAGAGTTGATGAAATGATAATTTATACATCTTTTTGATATTCTAAACCAGGTAAAAACTGTACGAAATACGTTACTATTGAAGAACCCGATTATTCAGAATTACATACTTCTGCTACAACACATAGAAGAGTATAGGTCACCCACCACCATTCTCCATCCAACTATGTCTTGACTAACCCTATCCATTTGTTTCCAGTTACTATTCATTCGTTTCATATCTGCTTACAATTCTCGATGCAGTATGTTCTTCGGCCTTCCTCTTTTCCGTTTCCCTTCACGATTTTCAGTTAACACTTGTCTCGTGATGCAGTTCGGTTATTTCTGTAATTTACGTTTTATCCACTCCTCACGTCTTTTCATAATTTCCTCCTCAGCCTGAACCTGGTTTGTTCTCTTCCACAGTAGGATGTTGCTGATGGTATCCGGTTAATGGACATTGAGTATCTTGTACGGATAATTGTTTATAAATACTTGTACATTTTTGATGATGGTTGCGGTAGTTCTCCAAGTCTCAGCTCCATACAATACCACTGTCTTGACGTTCGAATTGAAGATTGTGACTTTGATATTAGTTAATAGTTGTTTTGAGTTGCAAATGTTGGTTCACCCGTAGGAATACTGATCTTGTTTTGTCTATCCTCGCCTTGATTTCTGCATTAGATCCTCTTCGTTCATCGATGATGCCGTCTAGGTACGTGGATATTCCCACCTCTTAAAAGTCCCTCCATCAAGCGTGATCCGGTTGGCGACCTCCGTGTTGAATTTCATGCTGCTTTCTCCTCTGTGTATGTTAAGGCCTGTAGTGAACAGAACAAGGGTAGGGACAATCGAATGTATCTAACACTACTTAG